CTGTCCTCCAGTTACTTATCAAATTTTTGATATTTTCTCCATATATTTGATGAGAATGCTTATAGTAGTCTCTTTGATCAATAACAATGTGGATATATTTAGTATATTATTTACGAATAATTCCTATTTGTTTTTTGTTTCTTATTCAGTTCAAATACGCTCGCATATCAGGAAAAGCGAATGGCAGAGTCAAGAAAGGTGTAATATTTTCCACCTATTCTTCACTTATCGGTGAGAGTCAGGGTAGTGCTAAGGCGAAGTACAAAACTAGGCTCAAACAATTGGTGCATTGGTGCGGCAAGGATTTTGACGGTGTGGTAAGCATTAAAGTGTTATATGGATTAAAGTGTTCATTCTATGAAAATTACTGTATATTTTAATTATGCTTCTTTAGCTGCATTGTACTTTCATTTCGTACTTGTTGATCGTTCTATGTATTCTTGAGTAACTTCCATTTTACAATTAATGCATTCACTTTCTGGACTTTACGAGTGTATATAATTCGAAGTCTATATAATATCGGCTGTTTCTCATTTTATTATTGCTTTTTATATTTTGTTTGTTTTCTTATCTTGTCTACACGTAGCCTAATCCCGTTTATGCGCATAAATTGAATTTATTGTTCGCACTGTTATTTGCTTTTGTAGCATTGTTAAGACACCGAGCCTTATTCTGTATAAGGTGTGATTTTTATAGGTGTTCGTAGGAAGGGGACTTTATTTTGCTCTTAACTTATTTGCCACCCAACTCTCAAGTATCTAAAAGCTCAGCATTGATTTTATGGAGAATGCATTATATTATATGAAATATATTATACTATGTTGAGCTAAGAAGAACTGTCGTTTTGTTAACATCTTATATCCAAATCTTTAGAAGGCCTATTCAAAAATTTTTATAATTATCACAATGCTTTACCTCTATCCTTTTTAGATCATATTTGATGAATGTCATCGCGCAAAGAATTTAACTCCTAGCGGATCTCAAAAACCTACCAAAACTGGCTTAACGGTTCTGGAGCTACAGAACAGGTTACCTAACTCCAGGATCGTTTATGCCAGTGCAACCGGAGCTACTGAACCACGAAACATGGCTTACATGACGCGTCTTGGTCTCTGGGGGGAGGGAACGCCGTTCAAGACCTTCAATGCGTTCATCCAGACTCTGGAGCGGCGTGGTGTTGGCGCCATGGAACTTGTCGCAATGGACATGAAGCTGCGAGGAATGTACATAGCTAGACAACTTAGCTTCCAGGGCGTGCATTTTTCAATAAACTGTGTGTCTATTGAAGATGTCTCGCTCAACGGAGAACGATTCGTCAATGTCTATAATCAGTCAGCAGACTTGGTAAATCATTTATAATTGTTATAAGCGCTCAACAGGTAAACTATGTTTTTATGTCTAATATCGCCTGTTTTTGGTATGATTAGACTTCGTAATTCTTGAGTGGTCGCTTAAATCTTTTTTTACAATTTAAAGCAAGCTGCATCTATAATTATGGCGATTTAAATAATATAACAATTTCATTTACAAAAGCTCTGGCTTTTAGATGCCATAATATGCACTATCCAGTATACGCAAATAAGAGGCGTTGAGGTGAACAATGGATTCTATGCTATCGATGAGACAGCCTAGCCTCCGTTCTGATACCAGATCCAATCGATTAGAAATATGAAGATCGGCGTGGTAAATCAGAACTGAACAAAAAATGTTTAAGAATAGGTCAAGAGCAAGGTATACTTATTACCTGACTTAACAGGCTAGAGATATATGAGCTAAAACCAAACACGAGGGCTAATCAGTTATCGTAGAAACGAGGCGTGAATTAGCTGCGCAGAGTTATTGCTGGTACGAATGAAATAGACAGTTTGAAATTTTGCTCACTCAAGGAGAAGTTGGGCGATACAATGTAATGAGATAATCAAGTCTAGTCAGTAAAATACTGCCTTCCAGAGGATAGGCCGTTTAGAGGTCCTGACAACAATAAGTTGAGAAAGTGTTTAAAACATTTCTTTGATTCAGGACCCAGGTGTAAAATTAGCTCCATTCATGAGCGACTGAATTTCTTTACCTTTATTGTCATAGGTTTTGGAAAGGCAATCCATATATTCATGTCTGAGTAATTTACGTCATTTGCGACCTGCTTGATTCAATCGTTTCTCACTATCTCGGCAAAGTCAAGTCCGTAATCATTGGGTGTAACATGAAATGGTGGTGGCACCGGCGGCCACAAGTGATCGTCTCGGACATTTATGTAGGCCATACGATCTTTTAACTGCTCTCTGCGGTTGGTTTAGACGTGATGCTGCACGGTTTTTCCATTGCACCGGCCAGATTATTCGTGCTAACTGTGGATGGAGCGCTAAAGTTTCTGTGATGAAGCCTCCTGGCGGGTAGAGATGTCAGGTGAGTTGCAGCAGGACTAGTCCAATATGGAAGTGCATGACGAAGAGTACAATGCGAATGAGCCCGTGTATTCTGGTTAGATTGACATTGAATCTCTTCATCATGCTATTCCACACGAAATGAAAGTCTTCACAACAATACTATCTTATGAGATTGTTCGAAATTCGTATTTTCTTCGTAAAGACAGATTGCCTGACCCCAGGTGTCAAGCTTCCTTTGGCACCGTTAGCATATTTTTTCTTGACTTTGCTGTTGTTTGCACATATTTTCAAGATGCTAAAATGTTATTTGACTGCAAGCACAAATAAATGCCATGCAGATGTTCTATATCCTCTTTTAGATTTAATCAATACTGATTTGGATACATCTATTTTGTTTTCGTCTGATCTATTTAACATGTTTTACCTTGATCTTTAGGCACTTGGCACGTCCTTTTTTTCTGTAAAAGCGATCTACTTGTAGTTAAATTTTTGTACCCCATTCGAAATCTTTTATCCTCCACGTCCATGAGCAAAGTTTTAATTTGGGCTAATGTATTAATTATGATTTTGCATTGTTCAGCGTGGTATGTATGTAAAACTCATTG